AAAAAAAAAAAAAAAAAAAAACCCAACAATCCCAATAGCGTCAATTGCCCAGAATCATTATCAAGCTTAAATCTTTTTCAATTAAATTATTGTGTACGCGAGAGAGATTTAGAATAGAAAATCTGGGTAAGAAACAGAAAAGCAAAATTACGACGAGAGATGAAAAGAGATTTACCAGCAAGAGGGCTTAAGGTGGACGGAAACCCTAGAATCAGGGTCCTTTCGAAAATAGGGGAAAGAAAGGGAGTGCAAAAATCGAAGTTATCGAGGGCAAGGAGGCAAGGGATGTGTTGGAAAATTAAGAATGGAGTTTGGGGCTCGTATGGGATTAAGAAAAATATTTCGGGAGTCATATGTAAGTTTGCGGAGTTAGTATTTGACTGGAAACGGGAGAGTAACGCTAGGCTGCATGTTTGTACAGTGCGGAAATGGAAACAAAAATTTATACCAAAAACCTTTTATTCTTTTTGAAAAAATAAATATAGCAGAAGAATTTGATGATGAAAATAGATTTTTAAGATACTTTCCAAAATAGAAACGAGAATTTATGATTTTTTTTTAAAATAAGTTAGAAATGAGAGAAAAATTTATGAATGTTATTGTTTTTTTTTTTTTTCAATAAATTTACAATATGGTATATAATAATGAAAGGGTAAGTTTCCTTTATGCTGACCAAGCCGAGATTAATAGGAGGATATATCAAGGATTATAATATATCAAGGATAATAATAATGATAATAATAATAATAATAATAATAATAATAATAATAATAATTCACTATAAGAGATTGCATTTTTTAGCTAAAAACTTTAAAATAATTTTAGCTAAAAACTTTAAAATAAGTTTTTGTGACAAAATAAATAAAACTCGTCTCAAATAATTATTAGTCACAAATTATATTTTGTAGTTAAAAATTTGACACTAAATAATTAGAATTAGATGCTTAACAAAAAAAATATTAAATTTAGCTACAAAATTTAATTTTCATATATTTTTTAAATTAGTGACAAAAGTTATTTGTAACAAAAACATTAATAAATTATAGTTGCAAAAGCATTTTGTTACTGATATCAAGAACTCATAATTAAGGGTGGCAATTCATATTAGTGGGTCGTGTTCGTGTCAATCCGTGTATTAATCGTGTCAGAAAACATCAATCTAAACACGACCTGTTTATTAAAGGTGTCAAAAATGTCAATCTAAACACGACTCATTCATTAATCGTGTTAATCGTGTCAACCCGTATAATCCGTTTAAATTAATATATTGAATAAATAGCTAATATAATATTGACTTATTTAACACGGTGAATACAGGTTTAACATGTTTATTGGTCAATTTATCTTTTTCTTTAAGAAAAAAAATGAATTTTACCTACAAATATAAAAATTTACATTATTTGTATTAAATATGTCATATAAACATTCATACATATCATTAGATTGCAGATGACACATATAATTAATCATGTCAATTCGTGTCACTTCATGTTAGGTGGTCAACCCACCCAACCCATTTATTAATCGTTTTGATCGTGTCAACTTGATTATGACCCAAACGCATTTATAGTAAATACAAACCCGCTAACTTCGTGCGGGTTTTGAATTGTGTCATCGTGTCGCTACTCGGATTGCCACCCGTACTCATAATACTTGACCATAAAAAAAAACTTGTTGTGAAGCAATTCGTGTGGATGCCACCACTTGAGATTCCTAATCTCTCATTTAGATCTCATCATCTTCTTCATAATTCCTACTTAATACTATGTATTATCTCTTCATAATATATATATATATATATATATATATATATCTTGTAACTCATGTTCTTTGCCCTTACCTGTATTTATGGTACTTAGCCCATAAATAGAGATGATATAAGCATGTTGTTGGTTTCCGAAACGATTTCAAATACGGAAGTATGTGTCTAGCGGACCGTGTCAAAAAAAAAAGTCATAAAATTTTTTCAATACTCTATAGAATATATTAATTTACACGCGAATAAATTAATTTAATTAATTTATTTACCTAGTAAACGATTAGGTCGATAACTTGAATTCTTTGACCACAAACAACCATCGCCAAAGCCCGAATCCACTTCAACAAAAAACCTTATTTGTGACGATGGACTGTCGTTGCAAATAACTATATTGTCAACGATATGTCGTCGCAAATTAGTCGTCGTAAAAAAACCCGATGCAAATAATATATTTGCGACGACATAGTTTTTAAACGTCGTCGCGAATAAGTCATCACAAATGTTCCGTCGAATATGTCATTGATGATGACGTGTCCTAACTTATTTGCGACGACTATGTGTCGTTGCAAAAGTATTCAAAACCTTCTGCGATCATAGGCTTCAAAGTGTCGTCACTAGTAATGTAGACTATTCGTGTGATAATTTAGATATGTCGTCGCAAATATTTTCTTTTCTTTTTTTTGCCGTACTTTACTAATAATCTTAATTATTGAATATATAAATTATAAGAAAAGTTAATAATAAAATTGAACAATAAAATTGATATTTATTAATAAAAAATTAATATAAAATAGTCAACACAATAATAAGATCAATCGTAAAAAGTAAATTAATCAATAAATACTAAAAAGTGTTGATAATAAAAAAAATAAAAAACAGGTATTTTAATCCCCTAAATTAGCAGCATCATCGTCCTCGTACTCGTCTTCTTCGTTTAGCTCAGGCAGCAGAGGAACCAACAATTGGGGATGGTTAACTGTCAAGAAGTTGATGTTGGGATTCATCGAGTGCATGACTTCCATCATGATCTGCTGGTTGTCGAACATGTTGCATTGCTCGATGTAGAGGTTGTTCAGCCAATTTTGGACATACTGGGGTAAATTAATCGAAGACGACCTGTCCGATTGCGAACCAGATGATGAGGTGGAAGCGCTTGAATGATTCCTCCGTGGTAGTGTCGGTCCCACTCCCCTAGTGTGTCCTCTGCGCTTGCCCAAGACTTTGGACATAATCCCTTCCTCATCGACTGCCATAGCAGATGAACCTTCACCAGCAGACTGTGTCATCTGCGTGGTTCTTTCCCCTCCTTCTGGGCCTGTAAAGGTAAATGAAATAAAAATGAATAAAAATAGTATAATATCTTATGTTAAATATGAATAAAGAAATAAATTTAAAATTTACTTATAAATGCCTGTTCAGCGTCCGAATTGACCAAACTTTGCCCATGACGGTGCATGTCACCCCAATTGTCAATTAATAATCTTGGCTGCTGGGTTTCGAGATTTGCCTAATCAAGTTGAATGTGTTAGAATAATTATGAAGCCAAAGTGACAAAAACTTAACAAGTATGCAAATTACTATTACCTTGTCGAAATGATGCTGGGAGTATGACTTTCTACCATGCAAGCTGGACCACTTCTGACTGCCACGGTTTTGTTGATTTGTAGCAGATTTTTCTGTAATGATTATAGCTGAATTAGTAACTAATAACTCTAAGAAATTAGAGTTATCTTATGGATTTTTAGCTTAAAGTTTACTTAACCAAGAGTGTGTTTCATTGTTTCTTCTGTGTTTTAACTTAGATTTTCTGGTTTTACATTTTATCTTGCTAAATTATGTACTTCTGCTGCTCTTGGGTAAGAAGGAGTAATTTGAGTCAAAAAGAGGTTGAAATATGCCTAAGTTGTGATTTTGCAAATTGTAGGGAGAAAGTAGTAGCATTATGGGTGCAGCTGGCAAGTGGTATGACATCAGCGCACTACCTGGAGGAAAAGGACAAAAGACCATGTGAGCTGATTGAGTTATACAGTAGTGTGGACCACTTCAACCCTTATCAATTGACACCTTAGACCTTTTGTTGTCCTAAGAAGGAAGTGCTTTATGTAGAGAGGAGCAGCCGCCCAGTACAAGAAGAGAAAAAATAGAAGAAAAGAAATATAGTACAGTATTGAGAAAAAAAAGCCAACTACCAGACGTGAGATAAAGAAGAAAAAATCAAAAGAGAGAGCTACAGAGAGGAGGATCCGAAGGGAAGGACAAGGAGAAATTCTAGAAGATCCAAGATCCAGCTCCTTAATTCTTCTTCCTTCTGTTCGCTTGATTCTTTTGTTATTTTTGTTATTACTTAAGAAATGGATTACTCTGGAAATCTGGTTCTTGTAATTACCATTATGAACTAATTTGTTAAGCTAAATTTGCTAATGCAACCGAGGTTGTAAGGATGATGGTTGCTTGAGGAATGTTGATTAATTCTATTTCATGTTCATCTATGTATGCGTAATGCTTATTTCTGTCTTTGACTGGCCATCAATCATAGAATACAAGACTAAGATTAATACTGGATAGGTTAATTTTAGTTAGATCTAACATAGATGATGCAAGTTCAATAATATTGTTTGAGTTTATTGATTTGTGAATGGTATAGGAATATATTGTTCATCTTGCATAACATAAAGAAATCTGAGCTTAATTTGCATTCTAAAACTAGATTCACATAGGAATATGCTGGAAATGGTTGAAGAATCTGTAGACATAAAGACTTTAGAAGAATCTTATGCACAATAAATGAGTTTCTGTTAACAGGACGTTTTAAGCTATATCATTCTTGCAACATTCTCTATCAGATTTGCAACTAAGGGGAAATTAGTAAGTCTAGGTGATTTACTTAACTGCATACACTCCATTTTAGCATTTTTGATCTTCTAGTTAATCTTTTCTTACATTTCATTTTACATTTCTGCATTTAAAATAATTGGATAATTTTTAAACAATCAACTTTTTATCATTCTTAACGGGTAAACTAGTTGATTTCTGCATGTACACTTGGTGATTCATTCTCTGTGGGACAATATCCGTACTCTGTACACTTTATTACTTGTTTGCGTCACGTGCACTTGCGAGCATAAAAATCACACAAGTTTTTGGCGCCGTTGCCTGGGAGTGAAATCATTAAAAGTATTTGTAGGAGTCAATTCATTTTTTGTTTGTTTGCTTTATTGTCATTCATTTTACTTTTAATTTTGCAGGTTATAAACCCTTTGCATGAATCCGCAATGAGACTTGGAATTGTTGCCCTTAGATCCAGAGATTGAAAGAACAGTCTGAACTAGGAGAAGAAAGCATCAAGGTTTAGCAGTAGTGGATGAAATGGCAGAAGGGGTAGCCAAAAACAATGGGCAACATGTCAATGGGAACAATCTGATCAAATTTAATATGGTTGCTGCTGTTGTGGCCAATGACAGGGATAGGGCCATCAGAGAGTATGTTGTGCCCATGTTTCATGGACTTAACCCCGGAATAGTGAGGCCAGAGATTCAGGCACCTCAGTTTGAGCTTAAGCCCGTGATGTTCCAAATGCTCCAAACTATGGGGCAGTTTAGTGGGATGCCAACTAAAGATCCTCACCTCCATCTCAGGCTCT